CCCTGGTCCGGGTTGCTGTCAACCACTGCACCCAGTCCTTCAGGGGCTGCACCCACGGGGCCCGGAGCCCGAGGCTGCTCACATCCTTGCGGCTGGCGAGCACTCTGATCCGCATGTCTGTGCACTGATCTTAGAGGAAGAGGAGGGCATGGTCTGGCACCTTCCATGCTGTGCAGAGCCACAGCATCCAGAGGCTGCCCCCAAGAAACTCATCTCCATGGTGCATCCCAGTGCATTGGACATGGCTTTAGTGTGAGACAGCTCCCCAACTGGGCAAGCGAAGGGAAGGAGAAAAAGAGGCGAGACTATGCCTGCCTTTAGTTTAAATCTCCGACCCCCCAATTCCGTGTGCTCAGGAAGCGGCCCCATTTCTAGCCAATCCCATGGTCTAGACTGACAGGTCAGTCCCTCCTGAGCCGCCATGTTAACCCCCATGGTACACAGGTCGCTGTGACCTCCCCAGCCTGTGCAAACTCCGCAACCTTTTTCCTGCTGTGTCATGAGCCATGCTAACTTGTTCTTTCTAGGGGTAGAGAAACCTATCATGCTCTGCACTGTGGCTTTGTTTCCTATGATCTCTCCCCCGTTCTGGGACCTGGGCTCTCCTGCACTGCCTCTGGCTCCTCCCCTCTCCCTAGTGATCCCACCGTGTCACCATGGCAAAAGTGGGTGTCAAGAGCAAATGTGCTGTAATATAGTCTTTCCTATAAGTCCTCCCTCAACCCCTGTTCAGGTCGTCTGGCCTGGGCCTTAGAAACTGAAAGTGCCGGGCTACCTATGTTGCTACTCACCTTACAAGTAGTTGCTGACACCAAGGAATGACAGTGAGTCAACACAGGTGACTATGCTATTCACTCAGCTTTTCTTAATGCAGATTCAACCCAAATCTGTAATAACCTGATAACAATAATAATCACTCAGAAACAATGAGCAATAATATCCCACAAGAGACTTGGGGGATAACGAATCCAAATCCCAAGAGTCCAGATCAGACTCCAGGTTTAGGAGGCAGCTGGTTAGTATCTTGCCAGAGACTGTAGTGCTTCAGAGTCAGCTAGAGCAGAGCTCAACGGAGCACGGTGCCACTACTCTCTCCCTCTCAGCTGTCTCAGCTGTCTGGGCCATTGCTCCGATTTCACGCTCCTCTTGGTTGCAAGTTGTATTGTTTTGCAGAGTCTCTCGTAAACATGTTCTTCTCAGTCTCGATAAGCACACGTTAGTTTACTCAGTCCCAATAGGTACAGGTTGTTTACATCAGCTCTGATAGGCACAAGTTGTTTATGTTGGTCTACTGCGCCTGCTCTGAGAGGGTGGTGTTATCTTTCGGATAAGCACGTGTTGTTTACCGCGCTGTACTGCGCATGCTTGAGGGATTGCATCATCCAGTCATTGCTCTACTGCACGTGCGCTAAACGTGGCTTTAGTCCTGCTCTCTACAGTGGGAGAAACACTGGGTCCTTTCCTCAGTTCATGGTGGCCTGCAGCGAAGGTGTTTTATTTTCACTTGTTCTCAACTGCTGGCATCACTGTAAAAACACAAAATAATCTGAGACAGTTTTTGGTTCCTGAACCTGCATTTTTCTTGTCCTAACAGTGAGGCCTCAAGTCACCCAGGCCTCTCAGCCACTACTGAAGACATAGTGATATTTTTCTAGTTGCTTTAAAACTACAGGTGCTTGGGTTGTGGCCCTGCCCTGGCCCGGTCCAGGATCTTTTGTGTGTCAGGTGACCTCCAGGTGCTTGATGGTCCCAGGAAAAATTGTAAGGATGAGTCAGAGTGAGAACAAAGCAAGTTTATTCAGGTAAAGAAAGAAAAAGGCACAGGTACTGCTGTGAGAGAAGCAAAAAGTACATGTCCGAGTGGATGTTGGCCAACTCGAGTGAGTAGCACAGCATGTGGTCAGTTCTTGGGATTTTATGTGTTTCCAAGGGGGCGGTGGGGGTCGTATCCAAGCTTTGTGGTGCCAAATTGTGACTCCGCTGTGTGATTGGGAGGGGCATTCTTATTCCTAATATTGTCCATTCTGGAAGTGCCACGGCGGTGTTGGTCCCCCTCTGCCAACTGAGAGCTCTAATTAAGGAAGAATAATGTATTGGTAGCATGGGTCCCATTTTACTTGTGTTAGTTTTAATTATATGACGCGATATAATGAGCTTTGGGATTGTTCTCTGGTCAGTTTTTCTTCCATCTTGGATTACTCTGGATCTAACTGGTTTTTGTTATCTACCTGTTTGACTTTGGTGATTTAAACCATCTGTTCTTAGGCATCTTCATTTGTGGGAGGATAGAGTCTTGGGATTTATTAGCTGGCTGTTAATTGCTCAGCCATTCTGGTTATTTGTTCAACCAATTGTGTGTTTCCTCATTTGACCTGCCAGGGAATTTTCCTGTTTTTTTTAGTTGTCTCAGGGTCAAGAGGTTATCTCAAACCATCCTTGATTAGATAAGTATCATAACCTTTGAGAGGTCTGCTTAAAGACGATTTGGTTAAACTTCCCTAAAACCTCTGGAATTTCTACCCCTTACTAGCATTTAAGAGGTGAGCATGAGAAATTCCCACTAGCATCTAATGCTCTTGCTTTCCTTGCAGACTCCCTTCTATTCCAGCACAGACAAATCTTATCTCTACTCTCCGAGGTGATGGTAGAGGTAACGGGGTACAGTTTAGCAAATGGCAAGCCATCCAATTAGGCAGAAACTTAGAATGGGAATGGAAAAGCTGTGATAATCAGACAGGAAGATCAGATAGCAATGAAGTCGTCGAAAGCCTTGGAGGCAGTAGGAAGCCATAGAAACTGTAGAGGAAGACAGGGGGATTGACTGAGAGCTGTAATTAAGAAAGAAGGATCTACTGGTAGTGTGGGTCTCTAAAATATTTTCGCAACACACTAAGGAGGACAATAATACCTAGATCTTTAAAAAAATCATGTGAGTAGAAAACCTAGAGCAATTAAGTCATTTTCTGCAGTTAAGAAACTCAAAAGCCATCTCTATTTGAATGTATGATTGTTCTAATCATACATTCAAATAGGAAGTTTAAGAATATAGAATTTCTCTAAAACTGATTATCCATGATGATTGAGAAACTAAACTAGTGGGTTATGTCAAATTGCATGGAATTCCCTCAGTACAAGCTTCCCCGATTCACCTGTTCTTCCCTTTTCCACCGTCTTCATCAGAGGCAATAAGGGGCACCTGACTTCAGAAATTATGTTAAAATCATTAATTTGTAATACAGGTTTTTATTTTGTAGCATATGAACGTTTTCAAGGTGAAAAAGCTACACAAAGACAGGGTACAGAATGAGTACTGGAAAAGAAGTGATGAATTTAGTCTGTGTTGGTTTCAGGGGATGACAGGTTACGTCTACATTTTGAAGTAAGGGCATTCCAAAACAAAGGGAAACGTCTGTGCAGAGCAAGAGGCATTAAAATTAAAGTACGGGAATAGGAGCTTCAGCTTGAGAGGTGTATAGGGATGAAATCCCAGGGGGAATAGGTAAGAAATTTGGGACAGGCCTCTGTTTCTCTATAGAGGACCCAGATTACAATCCTGAGGTGCCGTTGGAAGTAAATAGGAGGGTGGGCCCAAAGAAGGAGCTTTTGAGCAAGCTTGCCAGGTGATTCTTATGCAAAGTAACATCTGAGAAATTACTACCATATAAAATCAATAGCCCTTGGATATCATTAAGAACTTGCTCTGGAGGCTTATGGAGACTGGGTTTAATGACTTGTTTGGAAAAGAAAGAGGCTGGTAAGAGAGGAATCATTTGAGAAAGGAGTGTTTTGGGGGAGTGCTGTATGCCTAGAGTTTGCCCTCTGCTGTTGCAATTTCTTCTTCCAAAATCATTCCAATTTTAACAAAGCCTTTCTTTTGTGACCCTACCTCACTCCCTTCAAAGGTCCAACACCACTTCATTTGTACTTGAACATACCAACTCCATACAAATTTTAAACAGTCCTGTGTATATATGAAAGCTTTGTTTTCCCGACAGCAGTTCTATTCTTCAAGCTCTTTAAGAGTTCAACCGTTTTTTGAGTGATAATGTGTGTAACTTCTGGTAAGTGTGTATAGGAGGAGGGGGTGGAAAATAAAAACAGAATATTGAATATATGAATTATTTGTATGTAAGTATTCAGATTTATTTTCATTTCTCATAAAGTCATATTTATGCAATAACGACAGTTGCAAACAATCCTTGCATATTAATTCTTTGGAAAATAAATCATTTTTACTCAAAAATTAAATCATTGACTTGAAATATTAATTTCTTTTTCATTGGCAAAATTCTTCAAAAATCTCCGACTTACAAGAGAAACTTCCCTTTATTTTTTATGCTCCATCATTAATCATAGAGATGAGTACGTTCAGGTGGCAACATCCATGCTGTTTCTACATCTTTTTTACCACATTTTCCACTTTTTATATTCGTTCCTTGCTCTCTCTTCACTATCTCCACTTTGTCATCCCTTGACAAAGGATACTCACTCCAAAGGTCGCGAGGACTCCGTTTCCAGTAGTAAATCCAGAGTTTTGGAAGCAGTTACTTAATTAACGCTTAGATGCAGTAAACTCCGCCCTATAGGAGGAGCCAACACAGGCGGATCGAATTAAGCGGTCGGTGGTTAACAAATGAACCCTTAATCTTTTCAGTGGAGCCACACACACACACAAAGGCCCAATCAGAGGCCGGGGTTCTAGTAGTTCTGAGGGGCGGAGCTGAGCAAGCGCCCTCCCACCTCGCAACCTCCCGCCGCGGCCCTCGGGGCCTCGCGGGCTTCAGCAGGCCCCGCCCCCTGGCCAGGCGCGGCGGCTATTGGGCGGTGCGCTCCCAGTCGTCACGTCAGTTGCTGTAGAGAGAGCGGGGGCGGGAGAGGGGCGGGGATTGAGATGGGCCGGGGCCCCAGAGAAAAAGCGGGGAGGCTCGGGTGGGTTGGGCGGATTCGACGAGCGCCGCAGCGATTGGCGAAGCGGACGGAGCGCAGCCTCCCTAGTGCGCCCAACGGTCCCCGCTGACAGATCCTCTTTTTCCGGCCGCGCTACCCGGGAGGCGGATCCCCGGTGCCTGAGGAGGCTTCCTCCGCCCGCCCTCCCTCTCCCGCGGGTCACCCCAACCGCCTGTGAGGAGGAGGAGGAGGAGGTCGTCGGGGCGGCGGCGGCGGCGGGCGGAGACAGCGCTCCCCCTTCGGCGGCGGCGGCGGGGGCAGGACAATGGAGGTGGCTGTGGAGAAGGCGGCGACGGCGGCCGCGGCGGCTTCGGCGGCGGCCCCCGGGGGACCCTCGGCGGCGCCGACCGGGGAGAACGAGGCCGAGAGTCGGCAGGGCCCTGACTCGGAGCGCGGAGGCGAGGCGGCCCGGCTCAACCTGTTGGACACTTGCGCCGTGTGCCACCAGAACATTCAGAGCCGGGCACCCAAGCTGCTGCCCTGCCTGCACTCCTTCTGCCAGCGCTGCCTGCCCGCGCCGCAGCGCTACCTCATGCTGCCCGCGCCCGTGCTGGGCTCGGCGGAGACCCCGCCGCCGCTCCCGGGCCCCGGCTCGCCGGTCAGCGGCTCGTCGCCGTTCGCTACCCAAGGTGAGAGGCGGGCGTTGGGAAGCCGGGGGAGGGCGTCGGGGAGTCCGGCGCCCTTGTGCTGCGCGACCCGCTGTCATGTCGCTGCCGCCGCCAGGGGTGCGCGGCGGGGGAGGGGCGAAGAAGAGGGTCTGTGTCGGCGGCGGTGACACGGAGGGCCCGTGAGCAACTTCCACCGGCGCTGTCGACTTGGCTGCCCTGCTGCCCGGTAGCAGTCTCCTCCAAGGCTGGGTTGCCCACGCGACCCGCACTTTTGAAAAATCACTGGCGAAGTCTGCTGTTGTGTGCATCTCGGGTTCTTTACCAACTGCATCGAGTTAAGGGCTACCCTCTGCCTCCCCAAAGCTTTGTCCAGGTGCATATGATCCTAATCATCCCATCTGTACCCACTTTGTGTGTGCGCGCGCGCGTGTGTATGCTGGAGGAAGGGAGGGAGGGATGAAGATGAAGTGATGGTGACTTCGATGATTGATTACAGATCAGATGCTGTCTGTTTTCTGTCTTTCATGATTCGGGTTCTTTATCTTAATGAGAACCCAGCTCTCTTCTCTCCGCTGTGGACAAAGGAATTAAGAGACGGCGTTCTGTTGTCTTTCTTTCAAAGATTTTATTTTGAGACGGTAAAAGGTAAAGAGAAATCGAACAAAGTGACTTGGGGGATGTAGGATTTTGTTGTATTTTGTAGACAACAGCTGGAAATGTTGAAGTTACTATTTTTTTTTTTAACTGAGACTTGACAGTTTCATTGCTAACGTTAACAGGTTTGAAACATTTAAAGTTAGTTAAAGCAAGCACAGTAATTACTGGTTTCTAGTAGACTACTTAAAGTTTTTAAATTTTAATAATTGCAAATATTTTAGCACCTCCTTTTAAAATACAGAGAAACTGGAAAAGTGGAATTCATTTTTAATGTTTACTTCCTTTATAGAGGAACTAGTTGATTGAATTTGAGATGAGATGCTAATTAAATAATTGAACCAGATCAAGGGGTCTGTGAAATTAATGTTTTAAATAGCTTGTAGTGTTAGACTCCTCATTTAATTATGTTAAGAACAGTATCTGGTTGAGGGAGACAATTTTCCGTGGGTCTCTCTCTGTTTTGCACGTCCTGCCCTCAGACTGACTGACCTTTGTTTCTGTTTTTAAAGGATGTGTGTATAAGGAACAGCTTTAGTAGATAGTGCCTTCCATCAGAGCAAAGAGCAGGCGTTTGTATGGTCCAGTATAATAAAGCTAAATGGCTCCTTCTGGAGTAAAAGGCAGGATGCTTATTGCTAGTCCTAAAAGATTAGGGTTCCTTAAGTGTAGGTTTCTTTGCATGTTATACAGCTGTTGCCTGTACTGGTGTCAACTGGCCTTTTTCACCTTGCTTAATGGGAACTGGGATTCTGGGAACCAGTGCAAAAATGTGCTTCGGCTTATGGTACTGTTGTAAGTAATAAACTGCCCTTTGTCTGGGACTCCTGAGTCTTGTGTCTTCTACCAGTGTCCATGGCAAGCTACTTTGTTAGCTTGTGAGTAGGGTTACATTTCAGATCATTCACACTAGTTTTGCTCAGATGTGGCCCACCTGTTAGAAAGTGAGTACAGGGGAAACTTAAATCTTAGTTCTTAATTTTTAAGACATATTTTAAGGTTTCTTTTATTTATATTTTAAACGGTTAAACATGCCAAAAGCCAATTAGGGCCGGACTTCTGCATAATTTTAGAATTAAGATGTATTGTGTGTATGGCCATGGTATTCATACTGGAATGAATGGAAAATGGGAAATAAAAGCTCTGATTCTCAATTCCGAGGCAAGTTTGTAATTTCAGATTTCTCAAAATGTTCTTTGTAATTCCAGTCTCCAAGTATTTTTTTTATCTTTGTGTTTGAATGGTAAGCAAGAATTCAAGGAAAGCATTTAAATGGGAAGATAAATGTTTTTTGTTTTATTATAAGGGTTTTAACAAATCATACTTGAGAGGTACATATCTCTAAAAAAAAAAGCTAGCATTATCAATAAATTAAAAGTGTTATCCTGAGTCTCATTGATTTGAATGTTTTCTCCCTTTCTCTCTCCTTACAAACTAATTTTAGTATTCCCTAAAGCAAAAGTTTAGACAATATATTTTAGAACTAAATAAATAGGGTTCATTTGATCATGTGTTTTTCATTTTCTTAATGAATGTGGGTACAGACATCAGGGATCAAACTACAATACCTACAGAAGCTGAGCAAGTAATTGAGATGGAGAACTATGAGTCTGGGGATACAATAATAGGGAATGGTGGGGAGAGTGGTTGATAAATTCCACTTAGTTCCCGCAGATTGTCATGTGAGGGTGCAGGGACAGTATTGAAGGATCCTTTATTTTTCAGTTTTTCTTTAACAAGTAGTCAAAGTCTATCTAGGTGTTGTGTAAAATTACTCTAGTATTAGACATTGGCAGGTAATTAAAAAAATAACACACCCATACAGAACCATCGTGTAGGCCGAACAAGAGACTTTGGTTGAGGCCACACAATATGTACCAGTTACATTCTTAACTTGTAGGTTTAGACAGGGCTCTTTATCTGTACTAAAATCACCTGGTATACTACTACTTTTTAAAACAATATATTTTATTGATTTTGCTATTACTGTTGTCCCATTCCCCCCCCACCCACTCCCCTCTGCCCTGCACACCCTCTCCCACCCACATTCCCCCTCTTTAGCTCATGTCCATGGGTCGAACATATAAGTTCTTTGGCTTCTACATTTCGTATACTATTCTTACTCTCTCCCCTGTCTATTTTCTACCTACCATCTATGCTAATTATTTTCTGTACCTTCCCCCCACCTTCCACTCCCCTATTGACAACCATCCATGTGATCTCCTTTTCTGTGATTCTGTTCTTGTTCTAATTGTTTGCTTAGTCTGCTTTTGTTTTAGGTGTGGTTGCTAATAATTGTGAGTGCTGTCATTTTACTGTTTGTTTTTTTTCTCCTCTTTTTCTTAGATAAATCCCTTTAACGTTGCATATAGTAAGGGCTTGGTGATGATAAATTCCTTTAACTTGACCTTATCTGAGAAGCACTTTATCTGCCCTTTTATTCTAAAGGAAAGCTTTGCTGGATAAAGGAATCTTGGATGTAGGTCCTTGCCTTTCATGACTTCGAATACTTCTTTCCAGCCCCTTCTTGCCTGCAAGGCCTCTCTTGAGGAAATCAGCTGACAGTCTTAAGGGCACTCCTTTGTAGGTAACTGTCGCCTTTCCTCTTGCTGCTTCTAGGATTCTCTCCTTCATTTTAATCTTGGCTAATGTAATGATGATGTGCCTTGGTGTGTTCCTCCTTGGGTCCCGCTTGTTTGGGACTCTCTGAGCTTCCTGGACTTTCTGGAAGTCTATTTCCTTTGCCAGATTGGGGAAGTTCTTCTTCATTATTTGTTCAGATAACTTTTCCACTTGTCACTCTTCCTCTTCCCCTTCTGGTACCCCTATAATTCGGGTGTTGGAACGTTTAAAGATGTCCTGGAGGTTCCTAAGCCTCTCCTCACTTTTGAATTCTTATTTCTTCATGCTTTTCTGGTTGGATGTTTCTTTCTTCCTTCTTGTCCACTCCATTGATTTGAGTCCCAGTTTCCTTCCCATCACTATTGGTTCCCTGTACATTTTCCTTTATTTCTTTCTTTTTTCATATTTTATTTATTTATCTTTAGAGGGGAAGGAGAGAGGGAGAGAAATGTCAATGTATGGTTGCCTCCCGTGCGTCCCCTGCTGGCAGCTGGCCCGCAACCCAGGCATGTGCCCTGACTGGGAACTGAACCTCGATCGTGTGGTTTGCAGGCCCGCACTCAATCCACTGAGCTATACCAGCCAGGGCCATTTTCCTTTATTTCACTTAGCACAGTCTTCATTGTTTCCATCTAATTTGTGACCAAGTTTAACCAATTCTGTGAGCATCCTGACTACCAGTGTTTTGAACTGTGCATCTGATAGGCTGGCTATCTCTTTGTCGCTTAGTTGTATGTTTTCTGAAGCTTTGATCTGGTCTTTTGGTGGGCCCGGTTTTTTGTTTTGTTTCTGTCTTGATGGGCCTGTTACATAGTGAGGGGCGGAGCCTTAGGTGTTTACCCAGGGGAAGTAACCCATGTCACTGGGTTGTGACACTGTATGTGGGGTAGGGGTCCAAGAGGGAACAGTGTTATTTGCTCAGCTCTTCCAGCTTTCAATCACTTCTCCTGCTTCCCACAAACAAATTAGGCCCTTCTGGTGCTGGTTCCCAGATGGAAGGGCTTGTGTACATTCTAGGACCCTGTGGATCTGTCCAAGGAACTCTCCTGTGAGGCTGGGAGTCTCTCCCGCTGCCTCAACCTCCACAGGTGTTTTCAGTCAGTGGTTTGAGGCTTTATTTCCCCACACTGGGGCCCTGGGTTGTGCAGTCCATCCTGCTCCCCAGTTGTTTCTCCCGGTTTATCTGTGTGCGAATGAGGGACTGCCCGCTACACCAGCTACCACCTTGCCAGCCAGCTGCAGCCTTGCACACTCTGCTCTACAATCTGCCACCTCACTGGGTCCTCCAACCACTGCCTTGCTGTGAGTCCTCTCCACCCAGCTGCCTGTCTCCACCCCTCCTACCAGTCTGGATGGATGTTTCTTCTTACAGTCCTTGGTTGTTGGACTTCTATACAGTTCGGTTTTCTGTCAGTTCTGGTTGTTGTGTTTTTTAAATTGTTGTTGTCCTTCTTTTGGTTGTGGGAGGAGGCACAGTGTGTCTACCTACGCCTCCATCTTGGCAGGGAATCTCTAATTGTCTTCCCGGTATACTTCTTAACCTTTAGATGTCAAGGTCCCTCCACTCAGAGAGCTCAATTTGGCATAATTTTAGAATTTAAGAGTATAAAATGAAACCATACATTTCCTTAGCTCAAAATACACAATGTATTATAAGGGAACTCTTTAGAAAATTAATACCAAAATTCAGGTATAGAATAGAAATTTTCAACTCTCGCAGACCTGGTTTCCCTTTCTGCTCAGCT